AGGAGAATTACAACAGATGAGTGTGTTAGCAGCCGTAGTGAACAGGGGTTAAGTAAGGCTGTACATGCCTGGTGGTTTTTGAAAGAACAATGGAAACATTTTCAATTTAAATTATGTAAACAGATTGTGTGTGTGTTCATTTACAAGTAGCATGTGTTGAGGAAAGCCAAAATGAATGAAAAGAAGCGCAGCTGTGTGTATTGCATTTGTCTTTATGTGTGTGTTTCGATGTATATGTGCATGTGTGAGGGTTAAGATTCGGTTTTAGATTCAGAGTCTGGATTAGGTTTAGTTTGTGTTTTTGATCACTGGGAGTGCTGTAGAGCAATTTTTCATGAACAGGACTTTTGTGTGTTTCTCTGCTAGCAGGTGCACAAGGATGTGCATGTACGTGAATTAGTACATAGGTGAATGATTACATGCGAAACAGTAACAGCAAAGAAGAAGACAGCTAACTCGCCGATACCGAAAACATTGCGGGCTCTATCTTGCACTCAGCGCACTTTGTAACACTGGCGTTGTATAATTTCTTATTTTGCAATTCGACGCCACATGGGAAATTTTCCCTCCACTGACGCACATCCTTAAATTAGGGAATGAACTGGCGCTCTGGCCAGATAGGGCCCTGCAGGTTTTGGAATATCTAAAAAAAAACTCAGCTTTGAAAATGTTTTAGTGGAAAGGAAATGCACTCAATACATTTGTTGCGCTTCAAGGACACATAGGCTACAGTGTGTTTTTGAGAAAAAAGGAAACTCTAGTGTGATACTTACTTTAACCCGGCTTAATTTTGTACAGCAATTTAAACATCCAAAGTGCTTTGTAGCACTAAAAAGAAATTACTATACAAAAATAACTAAATAAAAGTATAAGCTTCAGATAATGTAGATAAACAGACAACCAACTGCAGAACATGATGTTAAAGCCATGGTGCCCAAAAGAGAACAGAACAAGAAACATACAAAATAATCATACCTCAAGCTAAATGAATCTTTATTAAGTTACTCAAGACTGAATTAAGATTATTTTGTCAAACTACTGTTTCACATTTAAATACAATATCCTCTGAGACAACTACTATATCAGCAAAGGTTAGGCTTAGGAAAAACAA